CAACATGGTGAGACCTCATCTCTACAATAAATCAAAAAATTATCTGGGTATGGTAGCACATGCCTGTAGTTCTGGCTACTTGGAAGGCTGAGGCGGAAGGATTGCCAGAGCCCAGCAGGGTGAGGCTGAGGTGGCCAGGAGTATGCCAGGGCACTCCAGCCTGGGTGACGGAATGAGACTTCGACTCCAAAAAAAAAAGAAGTAAACACTCAGTGTGATCCAGATGAGGGATTGTTTCCAAGGAGACTGCCGGAAAGACAGGACCACGTGGCACCTTAGATGGAAGGCTGGGAGCCAGAGACGCTAACGCAAACATGGCGGCCTGAAGACCAAGCATGAGGACATTTGTCACCTTGTCATTAGGAACCACACAAAGATTTGAAACCGAGTAAATGGACAACATTGGAAACAGTTGAGGGATGCATGCCTCCACCATGAACATCTGGTCATTAAAAATACAGTGTGTGAAGGCTTTAGCAACACACAGTGTGTTAGGAACTCTGTGAAATATTCATAGGAAAAGTGCTCTGACAGCATCTGCAGAAATGGTCCCAGGCGCTCCTCTGGGTGGGGGCTGGGGGGGGTGATTGTTAGCGCTTGTTTTCTGGCTGGGGTGTGTGTGTGTTTTGTTATTTGTTTTGCCTTTATGGGGTTTTTTTCCTGATTTTTCCACAGGAAGTATGAATTAATTTAATTTTTATAAAACATCTGCTTCATTAAAAATATAAGTTAGAGGAGACTAGAGATAAAGCCCATAAGAGAAAAAGAAACATGGCACGGACAGCCAAGGAACGTGAATTTGGAAAATGTGCACAACTGCAGTCAAGTTGCAAGTCAAGCCCTCCCTGTGGGCCCCCGAGGCCTTGCCCTACCCAACCTGCTCAGCACTGCCATCAGGATAATACTGATGAGGAGGACGATGACGACAAGAACAAAAGTAACAATAAAAGCTGGCATTAACTGAGTATCAGGAACGGTCCAAGGACCTCATTGGCTTCTCTTATGTAATTCAGTGGCCAGGGTCTCTTAATATCACAGTTTTACAAACGAGGAAACTGAGGCCCAGGGAGATGAAATCCCTTGCTTAAGGCCACCCAGCTTAAGTGCCAGTGCTAGGACTTCAATCTGGCCATGTCAGACTCCACCATCGCCAGTGAATGTCCGGGGTCAGGGGAACCAACAGTTACAGATGAAACAGAAGCAGACATCATTATGGTCCAGGGGATGGCCAAGGGGCAGGAGGAGGAGGGTTGGGCCAGGGAGGAAGCTGGGCTGTATAACTGCCAAATAAAATACAGAACGTCGGGTGAAATTTGAATTTCAGGCAAATAATGAATGCTTTTTAAGGCTGTAAGTATGTCCCCCCGCAATGTTTGGTACAGTAAGAACACTGGTCACATGTATCTGTCCGACTTCGTTTCATTCCAGGGCCAGATCATGGTCACCTCCTCCAGGCAGCCTTCCCTGATACGCCCCCAATCCTCCAGTTTTGCCCGTGCAATATTTGGGAGATACTTATTCTGAAAAATTACTCGGTGTGTATCTGAAAGTCACATTTAACTGGGCATCCTGTATTATCATTTGCTAAGCCTGCCAACCTTAAGAGCTCACATCCAGCCACTCCACTTTTTAGGAGGCGTTTCCGGGCCACCGGATCCCCCTAAGGAGACTGTGCCAGCACTGCCCACACCTGGTCACTCGCCCACGCTTGGATCCAAGACCAATGAGTTTTCAGGCTTTATTTTTGCTCTTAAAGAGCAGAGAAAACATTCTCTCGATACCTGCCGGGTAGCGGAGAGAGAACAAAGGAGCACCCCACCAGCTCTAGCAAATCAATTGGTCCAAAAAGCACCCCACAGAAACACGGGGAAAAAAGGAAACCACTTCAAATGCTTCCTCGACACGAATTCACGCTGTGACCGATTCCTTTCTGCAGACCATTAACAAACAGGTCAGGCTGGGGAAAGCTCGCCAGGCCTCAGCTTGGGCCTTGCCTCCTCGCAAACAACAGGAAAACACAACACCTCTCTTGCTGACTCAAATGCAGACACTCCGCCAAAGCTCATTACATGAATGAGAAACACCGTGCTGAAATGACGTCTTTTGCCTTCAAGGCCAAAGTCTGGGCTCCTAAGTACCTCAGGTCACGGGGGAAGAGGGAAGGGGGAAGGGTATGAAGGAAGAAGATACTACAGCAACCCCCCAATTAAGAGGAGTGTTCCCCTGTAATATTGATAGAGCAAGAACACTGGCTTCACTGCATCTAACTTCACTCTTATTCAGGACCAGCTCAGGGTCACCACCTCCAGGCAGCCTTCTCTGATAGGCCTCTGATGCTCCTGTCTTGCCCATGCAGTATTTGGGAGACACTTAGAAGGTGATGAGCAAATTCATCCCCAGGATTTGAATCCCCAGGATTTTGACAGCCACATCACACTGTCACTGCAGAATAGACTCTACTACATAGGGTCTCCAAGTAGGGTTTCGGCCTTAGCATCTCCTGGGGACTTGTGAGAAATGCAGATTCTCAGGCCTCACCCATAGCTGCTGAATCAGATACTCTATGGCTATACCCAGTCGTGTGGACACATGTGCATGTGCACAGCAACTTTCTTCAGGTGTAATTGGCACAGCCTAAATGGCTCATCTTTACAATACAATTTGATTCCTGAACATGTTCCCTCATGAAACCATCGCCCCAGCAGCAATGAACACCTCCACCACCTCCCCCAAAGTTCCCTTCTGTCCTCTTTTCTCTCATTACGCCTACCCCTCCCAGTTCCCAGGCCCCATTGTCACTACAATGATTGATGGACGTCTTCATAACCCCATCTCATCTGGGATTCTGCACTCAACACAACTTCGAGAGCCATTCATGTCCCTAAGTATGACAGGAATTTGTTCCTTTTCCATGCTGTGTAGTATTCCACCATATGGATGTATGATGATGTATTTACCAATTGCCCATTAATGGACATTTGGGTGTTTTCTGGGTTTGGGCTATTATACACAAAACTGCTCTGAATGGCCCCATAAGTGTTGTTCATTCTCCTGCTTAAATACCCAGAGCTGAGGGCAGGTGCAGAAAAGGCTAATGCTAAGCCTTTTTAAGCACTATGTCTTCCGTAGCACTGTAGGCTGACTACCACATACGATAACGTATCATATAGTTTCAAACGACTGGAAGGAGGGTACTGAATGTTCCTGACACGGAGAAATAAGGATGCTGGCGATGACAAGGCCTGATTATCCTGACCTGACCACACACATCATATGTGCGAAACAGCACTATGTACCCCATACATATGTACAGTTATTATGTCCATTAAAAGTAATGAATTACTTTCTAAAAAACATATTAGACAATGTTTACTGTATTCAGTAAACATGAATAAAAAGAAAGAATTTTGAAAAACAGAAGAAACGACTGAACTGCCCAGGTGGCTGAGCTATTTTGCACTCCCATCAGCAGCGTTTGGGGATTGCAGCTCCAGATTCTCTCCAGTATCTGTTGAGATCAGCCCTTCTGAATGCAGCCATTCCAGGAACCGAGCGATGGTGTCTCGTTGCGGGTCTGGGGCAAATTTCTTTAATGGCACATAAAGCTGGGCATATTTTCACGGGCCTACTAGCCACCCGTGTATGTTCTTTGTATGTTGTATGAAAGTAAATTCATGAAAATAAATTGGAAAGAGGGAGAGAGGGGGAGAGAGAGAAAGAGAGAGAGAAAGAGAGAGAGAGAGATTCGCCTCCCCAAGGTAGGGGGAGGCCAAAGCTAGGAAACATGGCAGTCATAGTGTGAGAGTTGTTTTTATAGTCTAGGTAACTCCTTTATCAGATACATGATTCGCAAATATTTTCTCCCAGTCTGTGACTTGAGTGTCTTTCAGAGAGCTGAAGCTCTTAATTTTGATGAAGTTAATTTGTTCTCTTATGGACTGTGAGTTTCATGTCACATCTAAGGAAGTCTTTGCCCAATTCAAAATTATAGACTTTTCTAGAATTTTTTAGGCCTATGACTCATTTTTTGTTGGTTTTTATATATGGTGTGAGGTATAGCTTTGTTTTGGGATTTTTTTGCATGAGGATATCTAATTATTCAGCACCATTTGTTTTCCAAACATGAATGCTTGAAAAGGAGCTCTGGCATAGAAATGATCTACCACACTTCACCTAGTGAACTCCTACTCATTCTTCAAAACCTAGACCAAATGTCCCCTTGCCTAAGAACCTTTTATGATTAAGGTCAAGTAGCTTTTGGCTACCGTCTGGTGTCTACAGCATCTCATGCAACCTCTGGCATATTCTTATCTCACATGATAAGTGCCCGAATTAGTTCCCATATCTGTGTCTCAGACTCAAGTGAAAATTAATGGATAAGAACCCTAATTCTAGTGCATAGCACAGGCCCAGCACAGATGGTGGTGGGGGAGGGGAATGGCTGAGGAAGAAGGCGGCCCAGAAAACAATTGTTAAAATATAAACAAATGAATAAAAGGCCCAACAAGTGAGCCTCTTGCTTTTTTAAACAATTAAATACCCAACTTTCAAGGCCCCACTCACAGACCAACTCACCAGCAAGCCACCCTGGTTGCACCCTCCACGCTCCTCACCCGTGGTGTTTACAGAGAGGCTTATCAGCTGATTTAGGCCAAGCCCATTTCCAGCACTCTCTGTATACATCATTTCACCTAATCCTTACACCAATCTTTGAGCAGAGTTACAGCCACAGCCAGTTTACGGAAGAGGACACAGCTGCTCAGAGTCATTGGGCTGCGTGTGGGAGGTCACCTGTCTGATAAGCGCCAGAGCCAGGGTTTGAGCCCAGACAGTCTGACTCCAAGATCCCACCTCTCCATGCTCCGCTGCCTGGCTCCCTTTACTGCTCAGGCCTCACTCCCCACCCAGCCCAGACCCTGCAGCGGCAGCCTTGACCTCCCCCGTGACCAGCCACATCCCGTCCAGCGAAACACACCCCACCCGAAGGACCTCCTCATTACCTTGGGCCACACGCCCATGCCGAAGGAGTTGCAGTCTGCCAGCTGGTGCAAGCACAGCTCTGTCCTGGAAGCAGAGAAGGGGGTGGAAGTCAGGGCACTGCCCACACCCGAGGCCAGGCAGGGCAGGTGGTCCTGGCAGGGCGGGGCTCCACGTGACAGCCAGGAGGCCCCAGTGTTACCCCAGTCTTGTACCCCAGGTCTGCCTGGTTACTCCCCAAATATCCCTCACTCACAGCCCTTCCTCAGCCCTTCCTAAGGGCTGGGAAACCCCTGAAGAAGGACCAGGAAATAAAACCAGAGGAGTAGGGTCTAGCCCCGGGTCTTCTCATGGGCCGGGTATCCTTGTTCAAGGGTCATCCTAGGACAGTAGGCACCAGTGCGCCCTCACAGGATGCTATGTTCCAAGATCACTCCTGTCAGCCCCACTCCATGGACACAAATGTCAGTCCCACTTTACAGGTGGCAAAATAGAGGTGCCGAGGGTTCGGACCTGGCCCAAGGATTCACGACTAGCAAATGCGCTGCCAGGGGTGAGGCTGAGGTTTTTCGGCCCCCAGAGCCCAGACTCCAATGCCGTCCCACCACCCATCCCTGCTCCAGGCCTCGATCCACGCCTTAGGATGTGACATGACACTCAAGGCCCCTCCCAGGTTCCTTGAGCATGGAGCCTGCCGGCCTGAGGAAGGCCAGTCGAGGGGGTGGGCACAGCCACGCCCCCACCCCCTCCAGGCACAACCCACTCACAAAAGCACCCAGCAGCCCAGCCTCGGGTCCCAACCCCATGCGGGCTCAGATGGGCTCCTGGGAAGCAGGGCTTCATCATCAGGTCCCAGCGGTTTCTCTGATTCCGGGTCCTTCCGTGACTGACCTTTCCCCTCATTCTCTGTAGACCCCACACTCCCCTCTGCCTCGTGACCTTAGAAGACCCTCATCAGATAGGCTTCATGTCCAATCCCAGCCCTACCCCTTAGCAGCTGAGGCGTTTCTCTTTTCCTCACCTGTAAAAGGAGCATCCTACTACTTGCCTCGCAGGATTACACGAGATGTTGTACATAACTCACGTGGCTGGCCTGGCTCACAGTGATGCTGTGTGTCTCAACCCCTCCCCCCCCCGCCCTGCCCCCATGCTCTTCCATTCATTGGAAATTTAGTCTGACAAATAACGAAGCACCCATCTGGTGCCAAGCCCTATGTTAGGTCCTGGGGAGGCAGGAAGGAAGCCGGCAGAGCCCCTGATTTAAATATCTCACAGTCAGCCAGTGAGGTGGAGAGACCCATACACCGCAGCACAGCTGGTGCCAAACCAGAAGCATGTACTAGGCACCAAAGTGGTTTAAAGTAGAAACCAAGGTGCAAGAATCAGGCAGCATGCCTCTAAGAAAAGAAATGCGCCCTCTTCCCACCCTCCTGTCCAGCCAAGCACTGCTATGCCGTGGTCTCCGCAGGCAGCCTCCACCACTGCCCAAGCATTGAACCGAATGTGAATTATCTCACTGAAGCCCATGTGGTCTATTCAAGCTACTGATTCCAATTTACAGAGGAAGACACCGAGACTTAGAGCGGATGATGCACAACCGAGGTCTCCCAGCCCACGAGCAGGGCTCCTGAGGCATCTGGAATCTGAAGCCACGTTCCTAACCCTGGGGCCCCACGGCCTCTCAACTCTGGGCAGAAACGGAGGTTGGGCCCCGCAGAGCAGGCACCCTCAGCCCCACAGCCCTAGCTGTCCGCACCGGCCCAGAGGCTCACCTGAGGTCCAGGTCCAGGCCAGCCAGCATCTGGGAGAACACCTGGAAGTTTCCTTCCCCTTCTGGCTGCCGGGCCACGCGGCTCTTTTCCAAAAGCATCGTCTGCAGGAGAGGGAAGGGATCCAGTCAGGCTCTGGGTGCTCTGCCCCATGCTCGGTGCCCAGCTACCCAAGGTCCGGCAGGGACCAGCTCTAAGCCTTGCTGGACACCTCCCTGTGGAAACGTGCCAGTCCCTTGTGTCACTACTTCAGTGACCCCCTAGGAAATCCACTGAGGCAACAGACTCCAGTTAAGGCATCACACAGTAATTACAGACTGGGAGGGTGACTCACGCCTGCAATCCCAGCACTTTGGGAGGCCAAGGTGGGAGCATTGCTTCAGCCCAGGAGTTCCAAACCAGCCTGGACAACAGAGCATGACCTCATCTCTACAAGAAATTTAAAAATCAGCCAGGCACGGTGGTGCATGCCTATAGTCCCAGCTACTCAGGAGGCTGAGGTGGGAGGACCACCTGAGCCCAGGAGATCGAGGCTGCTGTGAGCCGTGATTGTTGTGACCATGCCACTGCACTCCAGCCTGGGCAACAGAGTAAGACCCCGACTCAAAAAAAAAAAAAAAAGAAAGAGAGAAAAGAAAAAGTGAATAACACCCCCCACCCACCCCTTTCTTTTAACCCCTTGACCCAAATGGTGACCGAAATGAGGGGCTGGCCATCAGGGCCAGGACAGAAAGGAACTCATGCAGCACCAGTCCATTTTCCTCAGGGATGGATATATATTCTCCCAGCTTCACATACAAACAGCTCTTCTGTTAACCTAATCCTATTTTCTGTTCGAACAGAATGTTTGTAGGGGGGGGAAGGGGTGGGTGGTTTTGGAGCTGGACAGGCACAGGCCATGTGTTTGTCACACATGGACAGGGAAGGCAGCCAGCGCCTGTTTGATTTTCGATCGCGCTCTTAAGACCCAGCTAATGAGTGGCGAATTACATGTTTGCTTGTGAACATTTCATCCCCAAGACAGTCCGCAGTGCGCTCCAGCTGGCTCACTCTGGGAGGGGCGTCCTGGGGTCCTGAGCAAGCCGAGAGGGGCTGGCCCTGGCTAGGGGATCGGCCACCATTTCAGACATCACAGGGGCCCAGCTGGAGATGTGGGCTCTGCCTCCCCTGTGTCCAGGGGCCGAGGACACAGCAGCTCGAGGGCCCCTTGCCCACCCACCTCACCTGCAGCTGAGCCGCCGTGACCCGGCCTGTGGCACTGAAGTCCAGGGACATCACCATGGCAAAGCGGGTGGCGCTGCGGCTGTGGCCCGTGGACACGGAGCCAAAGGCCCGGAGGACGGTGAAGGCGGCCCGGATCTTCTCCACTGCGGGGGGCACGGGGCCAGGCGTCACCCAGGCTGTCACCTCCGCCCCGCACAAGTCCGCCGTCCCCACAGCCCTGCTCAAGGTCGCCCCATGCTGGCTTCAGCCCCCTGCGGGCTCCCCCAACTCGTCTATAAACCAGACATGTTTCACTGAGCACCAACTGCCGGCCTGACCCTGGGCTGCAAGCTGGAGAGTAGGGGAAGCGAGTCTCAGAGTGTGCCCGGGGTGGGCACAACATAGGGCACCCAGGCCTGATGGCGCCTAGGAGGAGGAGGGGGAGACGGCCTTCAGGGCCGGCACTCAGGGAGCTCACAGCTCAAAAGCAGGCTTGCAAAGCCCCACAGACTCTTTGCAGCTATTCCCTGGGCATCTACGATGCAGCAAGCTCTGTGCTGGGCACCTGGATACAGCCTAGCCTGACTCCCACCCTCAGACACATGCATTCTAAGAGGACAGAGTCTGGTGCCACTCCCCACTGGGTCCCCAGCCCCTAATAAGAGCCAGGTGTAGCATCAGTGTTCTGTAAAGCAGTGGAATAACCCCAGGAGAAGCAGTGTAGACCAGCAGTTAAGATAGTTTGGATGCAGGCTCTGCCCTTGGCTAGTTACCTGATCTGGGGAAAATTAATGAACCTTCCTGTGCCTTGGATAGCCCATCTGCAGCGCGGGGGTGATAGCAGTACCAGCCTCCCCAGTTGTCATGAAGACCAAAAGACTCAGTCCTCCAAAGTGCTTGGAAAGTGCTCCAGAGATGGTGCTGTTGTTATGTTTATTATCATCAGAAACGCAAATTGCCTGGGTCATGTGCTCTCCATGGGAGGATATTACCCCCAAGGTGGGCAAAAACCAATTCTTGAGGGTAGTGGTGAAAACATTTACTGTTTAAAGTGTGGTATACAGGTGGCTCAGCCTGTAATCCCGCGCCTTTGGTAGGCTGAGGTGAGTGGATTGCCTGATCCTGTGGGTTCGAGATCCTCCTGGGTAGGTGAGACCTCATCTCTACAATAAAATCAAAAAATTAGCCGGGAGTGGTAGCACGCGCCTGTAATTCCGGCTACTCTGAAGGCTGAGGCAGAAGGATCACTGGAGCCCAGCAGGTCGAGGCTGTGGTGGCCAGGAGTGGCCACTGTACTCCAGTCTGGGTGATAGAGTGAGACTCCAACTTAAAAAAAAAAAAAAAGTGTGGTGTATACACACCACAGAATACTACTCAGCCATAAACAAGAACAAAATCACGTCCTTTGCAGCAATGTGGGTGCACCTGGAAGCCATCATTCTGAGTTAACGCAGAAACAGAAACCCAGATACTGCATATCCTCGCTTACAAGTGGGAGTAAAACCCTGGGTACACACGGACATAAGGATGGAACCACAGACACGGGGGACTCCTAAAGGGGGGAGGTGAGTAAAAGGGGCAGGGGTTGAAAAACCACCCACTGGGTACCATGTGCACAATTTGGGTGATGGTTCAAGAGCAACCCAGATCTCACCATCACGTAATATGCCTGTGCAGCAAACTTATACATGTGCCCCGAATCTAAAATAATTTTTAAAAAATTTTTACCTCTCTATCTACAAAGCACATATATATAACATAAACAAATTATGTTTTATCTGTGGTATTAAAAATTACGACAAGGAGGGAAAAAAGCTTCCTCAGGAGGAGAACTAATGAAAAAAAAAAAAGATTGAGAACCCTGGCCCAGCGGATTGTGCTGTGGATGCAGACAGTCTGGGTTTGAATCTCAGCTCTCACATGTGCTCGCTGGACAAGTTAGTTAACTTCCCTAAACCTCAAAGCCCACAATCCATAAAATTCAAACAATATAGGAATTGTTTATAGGACTGTTTTAGATAAATAAGTTCATATACTTGGAATTGGGTCTGACAGTGGTCCTTGGCAAATGTTTATTTTGTGATTATTATTAATATTATAATAATTATTATTAATTGACATCTTTCTTTAAAGCTCAGATGAAATACCACTTCTTCAAAAAAGCCCCCTAGGCTAGGCGTGGTGACTCACACCTATAATCCCAGTACTTTGGGAGGCTGAGGCGGGAAAACTGCTTGAGCCCAGGAGTTCAAGACCAGCCTGGGCAACATAGTGAGCTCTCGTCTACAAAAAAACAGAAAATGTATCCAGGTGTGGCTGTACATGCCTGTAATCCCAGCTACTTGGGAGGTTAAGGGAGAAGGCCTGAACCCAGGAGGTCGAGGCTGTGGTGAGAGAGGATTGCACCATTGAACTCCAGCCTGGACAACAGAGTGAGATTCTGTATCAGAAAAAAAAACTCCTAATCCCTCTCTGCCTCCTGGGCCTTTCCCTTACCAGCTCTGCCGGCACTTTGAGCAGAGCAGTCAAGCTTGACTTGTACACACAGTTCCGTTTTCCCTCTAGTTATCAGTTCTTCATGAACATAGGCTCTGCCCCTGTCTGCTCTCGTTGGGTCCTCTGCCCAATTCAGCAGGTTATGCACTGCACAAAGATACCACAACAAAGGGACACATCATTCACGTGACCCTGGCATGGGTTTATATACTTATTAGGATGACCTCCCAGCAGGTGGCAGTGAAATGCCCAGTTCTAACAAAGTCACTGTATGAAGATTGTTCTGCAAAAGGCTGTCAACATCCTGAGGAGGGAGGGCCTTATTCTAATTTGACAAGTGTGTCCAGTGGCCTAGGGGCAGCCCTGGCAAGAAACAAGCACAGGGTCTGCACATAGTTGGTGCTCAGTGAATGCCAGGTAGATGAATAAAAAGAAGGGCACCCTGTGCCCCCTCTGACTTCACCCTTCCTCCCTGCACTATCCGTGTCGCCTGGAGACCACAGTACCTGAGACCCTGCCGTCCACACTGCCTGCCATCCCCACCAGGCACTCCAGGACCTGCTCACAGCAGGTGGTCTTCCCGGCACCACTCCGGCCCAAGGCCACGATGCTCTGGTCTCTACGCTGGCTCAGCAGCGCCCAATATGCCCGCTGGGCTAGGGAGCTGATGAGGGCAGGGAGGCCATCCCGGCGGCCTCCGGGCACCTGCAGAAAGATCACAGGCGTCAGCCGTCCCACCTGGGAACATCCGAGATAGCACCACCCACAAGTCTGAGGTTCAGATCTGTGTCCTGCCTCCCTCCCCATCCTACTCCAACCTGGTCAGCATCTCCAAATTTATTAGGGAGAGCCCTGTCTGTGTGTCCAGTCCTGCCAGTGGCTCACTGTGAGTCCTCAGGCAACTACGACTCTCTCCTGAGCCTAGGTCTCCTCTTTTGCTGGTTAGAGTCTTGAAGGAGCTTTGCATTCGCCCCTGGGTTGCATCTCACTGCTACTCAAAGCATTGGATAGTAACTGCCTGAAGCAAGATAGATGGCATGATTGATTAGTAATGTCTGCCATGAAGACAGAATGGCATGTGGGGGAGTTGGTAGTCTATGTGCTATGTACTTGCCATTATGGATTAAAGTGATGCCTGAAACTCCATCCATTTCATCCATTTATTCTTTCTGCATTCAGTAAATAATTTCATTGAGTGGTCTCCTCCCTAGCAGGCACTGGGGGCCCAACACGACATGAAATGGGTAGAGGAATCCCTTGTCAAACCACAAGGAGATACTGTTACAATGACTAAAACATTAATTTCCAAAACCCAGCCAGGTGCGATGACTCATGCCTGTAATCCCAGAATTTAGGGAAGCCGAGGTGAGAGGATTGCCTGAGCCCACGGGTTCGAGACCAACCTGGGCAACTTGGCGAGAACTCATCTCTCTACAATAAATCAAAAAATCAGCCAGAGGTGGTGGTGCGTGCCTGTAGTTTCAGCTACTTGGAAGGCTGAGGTGGAAGGATCGCCTGAGCCCAGCAGGTTGAGGTTGCAGTGGCTGTGAGCATGCCATGGCACTCCAGCCTGGGTGACAGAGTGAGACTCCAACTCAAAAAATAAATAAAAATAAAAAAATAAACAAAACCCAATATCAGTCTGTGGAGCAACTGGAGCTCTCATACAATGCTGATGGGGACACGAAATGACACAATCACTCTGGAAAACAGTCTGAGAGTTTCTAACACAGTCAGACCTCATATAACGTCACAGCCCCACTCTAGTATTTACCCAAAAGAAATAAAATTTTGTGTTCACAAAAAACCCTCTATGTCCATTGGATTATACTGAATCTGTACGCAAAATCACTGAAAACGAGAAACAACACAAATGTCCTTCAACTGATGAACTGAGGACATCAAACCCCCCTACCCCCTGCTTTTAGTGCTGGACATCTCGTGTCCCAGAAAATGTCTTAGGCTAGCCTCTGAACAAACATGCAAACCGTGCATCCATGCAAGCAAACAAGGGAAGTGGCCGTAGATAGATGCACGGTCTGCGGGCATCTCCAAGGCACGGTAGTGAGTGGGAGAAACCGATTCAAATGGTGACACACTGTGTGAGTCCATCCATGGGCTGTTTGGGAAAAGGCAAACCTATCAGGACAAAAGACAGATCTCGGCCCCCAGGGGTTGGGTTGGCCACAGAGTCCCCAGGGAACGTTTTCGGGGGTGGGAACTGCCTTGTGACTGGCTACAGGGAAGGCCACACAACTGCACACCTTTGTCCCCTAAAGATGCTGATTGAACTGTAGGTAAATGATCCTCCACAAGCCTGACCTGGACAGAAAAGGAAGTCCCGGGCTCGGGTGGAGTGTGCTTTCTGGGGGCAGAAGGGTGATGAACCAGAGAAACCGTTCTGCTAGTCCGCGGCAGCCATTGGAAAGCCACGAGCCAGGTGAGCTCACGCAGGACACGGGTGGCGTGCGGCAGGGGCACCGTGGCAGGGAGAGGTCGGGGAGCCCCCACGGACAGCTGGGAGGGAGGCCAGTGCGTGGCGGGAAGACCAGGAGAGCCAGGAAGGGCGTGATCCCAGGAGGAGCCGGTAAGGGGGAGGCGCGACGACGGGAGGAGAGAGCGAGAGGGGTGGGCTCGGCGGAAGGGTCCAGCGAGGCCTCGTCTGCCCTCCCAAGGGCGTTGGCAGGACCAGGCCCGGCCCCGCAGTGTGGCAGCCCTCCCCCAGCCCGGACCCCCAATCCGGGGCTGAGGGCGCCCCCAAGAGCCCAGAAGCAGTGCCGAGTCCCCGCCCTGATGCCAAACACGGGACCCAAAGCAGGCAGAAGAGGGACAAACCCCCACGCTGGCTGGGCGTGCGGCACGCAGGGGGTTCTGAGGCCGTAGCCCTGCAGCCGCCTGAAAACACTGAGCTTCCTGGGACTG